TTAAAATAATGGATATTATGTTGGACATGATTATGTTTTGGATTTATGGAGTGGTGTTAATATAAAATTAATAAAGATTATTATTAAAAAAAAATGGACAGGAGGGGAACGTCCGGGCCCAGGCGTATTGGGGCCCATAGAATTTCCTCATCCATTCTCCAGGGCCTGCGGAGAAACCCTTCCCCAAGTCTCTCCACCTGGTATAGGCTATTTTCTCCACACACTGGATGAATGAATGACACATGGAATAGAGAGAGAAACCATACTGTTATCTTGAATCAGTGACTGAAGTAAGGAGGTAACAGCCTGGATCCCCAAACCTACTCCACTTTCTCATTTACCTTCTCCCAAGTGGAGAAGAAGACAGCTCCCAACTAAACCTTGTTGTATTTATGACTTATGGCAACCCTATGGTATCCCTATCATGGGATTTTCCGGGGCTGAGAGTGTGGGACTTGCCCAAGGTTACCCAGTTATCCTTCTCTACTTAGGCAGGATGTGGGGCAGAGAAAGCCGACTCTCAAAAGAGCCACACAGTCTGAGGAGCACCCTTCAAGCCATGAGGCTCAGCCAGGGCTTCATCTGTGCAATACCCACCCCAATAGAAAGCGCAGCACAGTCAAAGACAGGTAATGACTAAACTGGCATAGCCCTGGCTATAACATCAACCAGGTTGCAGAGCTGTGGTTAAGAAGATGCTGTCCCCCTCACCACATGGTCTCTAATGGATAAACAGAACTGAGTGGAGTCTAGAACAGGGGTAGGCAACCTTTCCCCTTTAAGGGCCGAGGGACTTCAGCTCCCAGAATCCCAGGAGCTATTGGCCAACATGGGACTATTGGCCAACATGGCTGAAGCTTCTGGGAGCTGAAGTTCCTCGGCCGTTAAAGGGGAAAGGTTGCCTACCCCTGGTCTAGAAGATCTGATTTCAATCTTTCACCACTGTCACTGTCAAAATTAGTTTTAGTTCTCATTCTGCAAGCTGAAAGAGATCCTTGCAAATTCATTTTCAGTTAAGGAGACAGTTAAAGTACTTTAAAGATAATCAGTAGAGCTGAATACAAAGGCAGAATCATCCATATCGTTGTATTTCTGATTTCTACATGTGGTTGTAAAAGCTGAACAGTGAAGAAACCTGACAAGAAGATTCATTTGAAATGTGGTGCTGGAAGACAGTTTTACAGATACTGTAGAGACTGCCCAAAAAACAAAATGGATTCAAGCTTGAAGACAAAGAAGCCCTACAGGCCAAAATGAGTAAAATGGGGCTCTTCTTATTTGGACATATCATGTGACGACTTTATTCATTGGAAAAAATGATAATGCTAGGAAAGGGTAAGGCAGTAGAAAAAGAAGACTGTAGTACAGATTGATTGATTCAATTAAATAAGCCACAGCCCTGAATCTGCACAGAGCTGGTGATGACGGGGGCTCATGCAAGTCTCTGATTCATAGAGTCAATGCTGAATTGATGACAAACAGCAACAACGTTTTAAAAAGCAATGGAAAATAGTATACACTGGAGAATCATTAAACGGTGGCATCATGTCCTTATGATACCACTTGAAGACACTGCTGAGGGAGAAGACAACTGAAAACAATCCATTAGGAAACCAAAATGGCAACAGCTATACAGTGCGTTAGATCTATATGCCCCAATTTGTAGAGCAGTATTTAAGATTGGCACATTCCTTCTTGCTGGTGCATTGGAAATATTTTATCTCCCTGAATAACCCTGTTCAGGACCAAACAAACCTGATGACTCATGCAGCTTAAGGAAACTCTTGTGCGTGTTCGCCTGCATGTTTGTGTGACCTCATCATCCCGAGAAAGCTCCTAGGTCAATATTTTTGCATCTCAAATAAATCAAAGCAATATACATAACAAACAACAACAACAACAAAATAGACAAGCTATGATTTTCTCCTAAATCTTTGTTATTTTCAGCAAAGCTGCTTGATAGGAATGAAAAACCCTGCTTAATCCTTGTCCTCAGTAACCCCCAATGGCTGCAAATCATCAGAGAAAAACAAAGAGCCTCTCACTAACCACAAAGCATTTTGCCTTCAAAATATGATTCTTGTCATATAGCCTGCGGTGCTTTGACTAGATGCTGTGATATTTGGTGTCTAAATTGAGATAAAATGTGCAAAGTACCATAAATAAGGCTGTACAGACTTCAAATGCCAACAAAATCTGGAAGGCAGAACAAATAGTCATCATAAAACTACCATTTTATAAGATTTTACTAAAAGCTTCATAAACCTTTGACAGATTGGCTATACAATAAAGAGCACCTACCTGACTGAGTTGTCGCTCTATATTAAACGTTTTACCTAGTTCTGACCATTTAACGAAATCCTCAGTGCTTTCCATTAAGACATATTTTATTATAAAATATTGTTGCCTAAAATCTAGGTAAGCAATCTAGTACTAAAATGGTACTGTTCTGTTTCTGTTACTGATCATGGGTCAACTCTGGGAAATTTCTGCTAGTCATCAGTGTACCTGTACAAGACAACCAGTAAAAACACCTAATGCCAGTCCCATTATAATCTTACATGGGAAAACACAATAGTTTCTACCATGCAGGGGAGGACTAGTACCCTTCCTATTAATTACAGCAGAACTGCAGGAGCAAACAATGAGAGGTAGCTACTAAAGGCTTTAAAGGCACTTCACCATTATGAAAGATCAAAATATTTGAAAGGTACAAAATAGACAATGTTGTTTTTCCCCCAGTTCATTTTTGCAACTGTAAGTTATACACGCTTCTGACCTGAATAGTGTTCTTCAAAAAGGCAGATACTGAATGGCGAGGTTATTCTGTGTTAACCTAAATGTTTAAAGTTTTCTATACCTGGAGGGATAGTCTCTTATCTATTTTATTTTATTTTATCTCTGGGATGGCAGCAACGTTTTTAAAACAAAGTGATGAAACATGGCAAAAAATATTTTAGAAAAATGACCCGGCTGTCATCCCTCTTATGGTGAACACAGCCTATTAGAAATATCACATCTCGTCTGAACTTTGAATTCATGACCTTTGGGCTTCTGACCTGTAGAATGTTATTTCTGCCGTTTCTCTGTTTCTACAGCTTGAAGGCCAACATAAAAGCTAATATGGTACATTTCAATGGAGAATGCCAGAAATGCATTTAAACTAGAATGCTCAGACATCCATAACATTAGGGGCTTGCTAACAATCCCAAGTTCAGATACAGCATCTACCAAGCACTTATTCACAGATATTGCATCTACGATTTCTAAAATCTTTTATATTTAGGCAATATTTTGGAAGTTCAGTTGAAAGATTTGCAGGAGCTTAACATATATGTAGTTGAGGTCTGAGGAAAGCCAGTGTGGTGTAGTAGTTTGAGCATTGGACTAAGACTCTGGAGACAAGGGTTCAGTTCCTAGCACAGCCATGAAACTCAATAGGTAGCCTTGGACAAGTCACACTCTCTCAATCTCAGGGGAAGGCAATGCCAAACCTCCTCTGAACAACTCTTGCCAAGGAAACCCCATGATAGATTCGTCCTAGGGTCACCATACGTCAATAAATGACTTGAAGGTACACAACAACAAGTTGAGTTCTGCCAGCTCAGGCTATCACAAGGCACAATACTGTTCAACTGTGTATGTACAGAGAATCTACATGTGCGATGGGCGCAGCCTGGTACTAGTTTCACAGAAGGTGAGGACAATTTGCGAAGACAAATAAGGCAAAATACATCTTTCTATGTCCAATGAGGGTGGAGGGAACAGGAGAAATTAATGAAGAGCTCTCCTATGGATTAATGTCTCAGGAGATGCAACCTTGGTTCTTTTGCTGCTGGCTAGGGATTCTGGGAGCTAAAATAACTTTTCCTACCTTTGTTTCCACATCATTATATTTCACAGATTGTCTCTTCTTTTAAATCTAATTCTAGCTTCCACAAAACTTTCATTTTTGTTATCAGAAGATACAGCAAAAACAAAAAACAAAAACACACATACACAAAAAAACACAAAAAACAAAAACAAAAACAAAAAAAAACAAAAAACACAACCCACCAGTATTTATTTAACTTCCTAATCTTTACAATTCTGGTAACAGAATTGGGATGGGTGGGTTGGAGAAGCATGTTTAACATTGTTTTGCACCTGCTTGAATTCATCAAGCATTTATCAGAATGCAAATAAGCCTGTATATTAGAGGACATAATTACTGGGCGTATAAAGCCACAAAGTACATATAAATAATCACACAGTGAAGTTAAACAAAGTCCCCCTATGTTGCCAGCAGCAAGAAGTAGTTTTGTCAATGATGCTTCCAAGGGTATTCTTAGTAAGAGGACTGCCTGCTTTGTGTGGACCACTACAATTCTGGGCTCTGGGCAAAAGCTCTGCAGACGCTCCATAATGGCACACATGATGCAAAAAAAAGTGAAAGCAGTGCAAGATGGAGCAAAGTCTCATGTTCTCACCACTGTCCAAAGACTAACTTGAACAGTTAGCCAGTGACTATCTCAGCAGCCCTCCAGGAACTACACTGGGATGGATGCACAAGGAGATACAAAATGAACCCAGCTTTTCCTGACTAGCAGGAAACCTTTCACTTTTCTACCCATATATCTTCCCTTTTGTTAAAAGAGGTTATAAAGCCAGGAATGAATTTGGCATCCAATAAAATATAGATTGATAGACTCATATAAATA